GAAGATGTAAATTTTTTTGGAAAGATCAGAGCTCGAGAACTGATTTGCGAGCCATATCCACAGAACAAATTGATGGAATTTCTTGAAATTTGATATTTGAGTTATGATTGTTACCGAAACTAATTGGCGAGCATTTCAGGGAATTCGGGTAGCACAAAGCGAAACTCTACTAAGAGCCAAATTTACATTTTTCTAAGTATGTTAACTATAAGCTTACTAATGTCCTAAAAATTGGAAAGAAGTATTTAACAGACATTTTTATAATATTCTGTAACACTTTCATTTAACTAGACAATACACAATGCGGTCGGTTATGTGCTGACCACATCAGATTTTTTTTTAATTAAAACTTCCCTTTTTTACTTTTAATTTTTGATTTTTTGTTTTAATGAAATTTTCTAATAGTCTTTAGTTAAGTTTTGATTTTTAATTAAATGCTAAATTTAACATTAAATTAAATAATTTAATTTAATGTTATTAAAGTATTATAATTTAACGTTCAACCTTTTTATTTTTATTTTCTTAACAATAAAGAGAACAGCTTCAACCAATAGCTATATGTAATAATAATGAATCTTTTTTTAAAATATGAGAAAATAATATGAGTTTAGGAAAACTTCACCTGAATAAAAAAACTCGATTTGTTGAACTGCATTTCAACATTTCCAACACGCATAACCAAAAATTCTTTCTCAAAAGTTGCGAAATTTGCAGAATAGCATTTCTCAATATTTTGTTTTTGCGTGTGTTAATTTGCGTATCAAAAAGTTCATTCCCCAAAAGTTGCGAAATCTGCAGAATAACATTTTTCAATATCTCATTTTTGCGCGTGTTAACTTCTATCTTTATAACTTTTCAACCTACAGTACCGAAATTTCGCAAAATAAAGTAAAATGTAGCAGATATATTCATTAAAAGTTGTCGGCATATAATGAGCACTTATGATAGCTGCCATACAGCTCCAAAATTTGGCATTATTTTACAAATTATTGAAGCTATAATATAAAAATTTCGTGAAAATGTATTATTAGGGCTATTATGTGTGATAAAAATCAATAGTAATTTGGCCATTTCTTAGAAAATAGTGAAAACACTTTACTGAATTTTTGCATAAATTATTAATATGGTAACACAGCAATTTAAAGTCATTGTTTGCCCCATAGTCAGCTATGGCATATTTATTGCACATAGGATAACAAATTTGTACGGGTATCACAAAGTTGAAACGGTCAACTCAATTTTCTCTTGTTTTCGTGTAGTTTTTCAATTTGTAAACGCACAAAAGTGCTTCTTTAAGCAGAACGGGAGGGCAGAGTATTTCGTTTGTAATTTCCACACCTGCATCATCATCGTTTGTATCATCAACTTGACTTAGTTCATAATTTGTCAGCACTTCATCTACTATTTCTTCATCATCATATTCATCAAGACATTAAAACATTAAAATCAATCTCTACTAAATTATTAAATTAGCTTTTCAAATCTTCTGGGATTGAATTTATTGTTTGAAGCTCCAAATCGTCAACACTTAAATGTATTAACTTTTTTCCGCCATTAGACATTTTTAAAACTTTTTTAAGCAGCTGTTAAAGGTGAAGTTTAAACTTATTACGTACATAAATATATAGATACATACTCGTATGTCGTTTGGGGTGGCATATTATATAGAACAGTTTTAGCATTTTTGCGATTTCAGATGGCATTTAATATTTTAGAAAAAATAAAAAATGTAACACAGGTATTAAAAAAAAAATTCTCTTAGGCGATCTAAATAATTTTTACTTTTTGGGCAAAATATTTATTTGATTAAACCGTTTTTTTCATTTATACGTTTTTCACTTATGCGCTCAGGTTTATACCAAAAATGAAAGAAAAAACCTCTTTGTTTTTCTTTTTTATTCAAAAAGTACGTCAGTACCTCAAAAATCTAATCAATTGATTCAAAATATTTACCTATAATTCAAAATATGTATTTCCATTGTACATAAAAAAAATGTACAATGGAAAATATGTATATTTATTTATATTTATATATGTTTTGTTGTGTTGACTCAGTAATTTCCAAAGTGGTCTATATAGTCCACCAAGGGTGCATGAAGACCTGCTGGGGTCTAGTAAGGTGAAAAAAAAATTGGTGGTCTGCCAAATAAAATTGGGATCTACGAAATGAAAATGGCGGGTCTATTTAATGAAAAATTCTTTTTTAGAAAGACAACTGCATATTGATCTATAAACCAAAAATTCAAATTAAACGGAAAAAATTTTTAACGAAATATTTAAATTAAAGGAAAAAAAATGTTTCATTTGTTTTACTTTTTTCATTTCGTTTCTTCTTCCGTTTAAACTCCCACTTCTACCGTGTGTGCACGCTTAAAAATTTTTCGTTTTCTTTTCTTCGAATTTGATTTGCAATTTCGAAAAAAAAATAAACTGAAATTGTTGAACTGTTTTCGTTGGAAATTACCAAAAATAAAAATTGTCATACTAATTTTTATTTCTTATAAATATGTGATAATATTGACTGAAAAAGCAAGTGATATGTAAAAGATTGAATTTATTTTTTGTTTTGTGTCGCTCATTTAAGAATTACTTTACTTTAATTTAAATATAATAACAGAATTAATTAAATTTAATAAGAAAATATGAATTTAATTAAATAAGTTTTTTATAAAGCTTGCTACTGTTAAGAATTTAAATCTATTAAAGAAAGTTTTGCTACTTTGGGTCTCTTAAAAATTGAAAAGCACGACAAAGGGTCTACGTGAGAGAAAAAGTTTGGGAACTTCTGTGTTAAATCAACATATACTGCAAAGAAATAGAGTTAGGAACCAAATCCAATTTTTGTTCAATAATTTATCTCAGTTTTGTACATGAAACGCATAAAAGGGGATTATATCTAAACCAATACCAACAAAATACTCACAAATTGTATGTTATACTCGTATGCATGATAATATTAAAAAATAGATTTGTTTATAATTGAAAGAACTATTTTCAATATCATCAATAATGTTGCCCACGTCGGATTTTTTGTTCAATTTTTCAATTTCAAAATTATATTAATATTATAAAAAAATTTAAGTACATATGTATGTATGTTGCAAGTATTAAAATTAATTAATAGTAAACTTAATGATAAATTCACTATATTCAAGATTTGTAATTCGAATTATCCAGACATTTAACACGGCTTTGGCATTCAAAAAATAGTTCAAAAATGGAAAACGTCAAAAAGACGGTTTTAATTTGAATATTTACTATATTGAAGCTTATAGATTACATGTAGATTCCTAGATACAGTAGTTTCATAGAAATAGTAAAGGAGCAGAAAAAAAAACAAACTGGCTAATTTTTTAAAGTTGACACTCTGACACATCTCCTTCAAAATAAAAATTGAATAGTTTACTTAAATACATAGAACAATAAAATTAAAAACTCCAGTTATATAATATTTAATTTCAAAAAACCGTAATTATGGATGTATTGAAATAGCCAAAGTAATTGACGGTCAGAGTCCAAAATTTCAAAAATTTTGCTTTAAAAATTTTGTTAATGGAACAGAAAAATGTATTTGCATATTAAGTTGTAGAAACAAAATAAATTCGAATCAACATAGCGTAGCTCCGAAAAGAAAGTAAATTAAACCAAATCGAAAAATGTTTTCAATAATTATATTATGATAATGAATATAAATCCAAATCAATTTTCATGGTTAAATGGTTGATTTCAAATGCACTTGGATATATTTTACAAAGATTAATGAATATTTAAAGTATTTTAAATTTTTAAGACCTGAGCAATTGTGTTCTTTGAAGCAATTCAGTTTTATCGCCGGAGTGCCACAGATAAAAAACTTTGTTACACTTTACTACAACAAAGAATTTATTTTAAATATTGAAAACACTGGGCAGTGCGGAAAACTAGCCATAAAAATATTATAAAGTTTTCTTAAATTATTTTCATAGAAATTTATAATTTTACAAGGATTTTTGTTAAAATTATATAAGTTATGATTTAAATTGTATAGTATACATACTTATACATATGTATATATATTTGATTCATAATTTCAAAACATTAAATCTTTTTCTTTTTATTTTACTTCTTTATGCAAGAAGTAAAATATTTTTTTAATTTTATGCAAGGATAATTTAAGTTCTGAGTATTTTTGATTGAGATTTGTTTGGATGATGATTACAATAGTAATGATCTTGATGCTGAAACGGGTGGTTATTTAGAACAACAAGACGACGATCTAAATTTAGAGGAAATACAAAGAAAATTTTTTATTTTTTTAAAAAGCTTTATATTTCGGAGAATATTTGAAGAAAGACTATACTTTCTCTCAATTTTAACGAAAGCGACAGTTATAATAATGATTTTTGGCACCAAATGAAAATTCTATACGGATAAATAGATTTTCCAAAGAAAATTTTATGAGTTTTTATATTTGAAAAATATTTATTAATTTTCTTCTTTTATTTTTTTTTGTTCTTTTCTTCTGCGCTCCATACCTCATGTTTGATATTTAATCAAACATAAAAACTGTGAGTATGAGAATTTTATCTGGTTATCGAATAATCAGAATCAGTTTGTGCATGACTTGTAAGCGTATTGTACCATTTTTATTAAAAGAAAAAAAATATATAAAAACAATAATTTCGTTAGTACAATTAGAAACCGCCGGTAATTACTTTTTTAAATCAATTTATTTTCTACGGTGAAAATAAGAATTTAAGTTTTTTTCTAAATTTTAAATTTTTTTTCTAAAAATATTTAATTTTAATTTTAAGAATATAAAAAAGAAAAGTGTTCTTTTCAAAAACATTTTTTATATTTTTAATTGTTAATGTAACTGCGAATATAAAATTATGAAATTAATATTAAAATCACAAATTTAATTGTAAATTAAATAAAAACAATAATTTTATACATAAATTTTTGCTTGCACAAGAAAATATTTAGTATCATAAAATTAAACAAAAAACAATAATTACAAAATGTCTATTACACCATCATCTGGAATATCGAATCCATCAAGAAAAACGCCAGCAGCAAGACCACCACGTTTAGCAATTAATCCAAATGCAACATACATACCAACTCCAAGTTCAAATTTACCAACTGCCCGTTTTGGTGGTTCAACAGCATATACAAATTCATCGCAACCATATTGGCCGCCAGTAGCTAATCCATTTTTAAATCATAAAGCTGCTGGGGATTTTGTTACAAAAGGTTTTGAAGGTTTTATAGATTTTACAAAAACTGGTATGAGTTTTGGTGAAAAATTCTCTTTTGGAATTTATAATAAATTTAGTAAATGGTCAAAAAAATGGTTTACACACATATTTTTATTTATGATTGTGATTTTATATAGTGCACTGGGTGCATTAATATTTATGACAATTGAAGGTAAGTTAAGAATATATTAACATTATTTAGATTTTTTTTATAAAATACCTTTTTTCTGTCCAAAGAAAAATCCTTGTCAGTTTAATTATTGTTCCACAACCTTGATGAACGTGTTTGTTTACTTTTTGAGAAAAGGGTTTGAGAAAATTTACATTACTTAGTAAAATTTCAACAACAGAAGTAATTTTATAAACGATAAATTTGATAGTAAATTTCCACATCATTTTCTATCAGTGCTGAAAATACGTGACCCTATCAAATTTTTTTAAATTTAATATAAAGTTTTTAATAAAAAATATTGCCCTTGAATTGCTCTATTTTTAAATTTCCCATTTTCAAAACATTTAATTTTTTTATTGTTTTAATCAAAGAGTTTGATAACTATTTGAAACCTTTAATCTATTTGACTACTTTGTCAAGTTATTAAAGATTAATCCCATTCTGATAAAAAATAGTCAAGGAATTCAAAGCAAATGTGATGTGGTTTGTACATAACTGACAGCAACGTGGACTGCTTAGTTTACCGAAAATGTTGCACAAGATTATGAAAATAATTTTTATCCACTTTTTCCAAATATTAAGGACGCTAATAAGGACGCTAATAAGGGAAATGGCATAAAGTAAATCTCTTAATAGAGATTTACTTTACGCCATTTCCGGGATTGCTAAACTAAGCTAAATTCCCAGAGTTAGTTACTTTCCGTAAAAAAAACAGAACTCAAATAATTCCGTCAATTAGATCAGTTAGTTCAATTTAAATTCCATCAGTTAGATTCTCAGATATATTAAAAATACAAAATCGATTATATTATCCCAAAAAATTGATAAGTTCATTGTTTTAACACGCTAATTTAGTATTTTTACCGACCGTATTGTGTAAACAATAGGTAGGTTATGTGATGGCAACAAATTTTGCATATCGAGTTTTCGGTGGGAATGCACTTCTCCATAGTAGCGAAGTGTAAGTAGACTATTTTTAGCAACCTGTCGGTCCGTCGGTCTGTCGGTCTGTCGGTCTGTGTGTGCACGCGTGTATCTCAAGTTCTGCTGAACCGATTTTGATTAAATTTTATATGTAAGTTTATTTCCACCATGGCACGGATTGATCAACTTTTGGTATATATCAGGCCACGGGAACTGTACTTTTTAGCGGCCCTGTTTTACATTTTTGGACATTTTGAAGAAAGTATTCAACCGATTTACTTGAAATTTCATATATGAGCTTTGCTCGACCGTCCGCGAAAATTCCCAACTTTTGAAAGAAATCAGGCATCAGCAACTGGACATTTACTACGGGCCAAATATACATTTTTGCGTATATAAAGAGAAATAATTGACCGATTTCATTAAAATTTAATATTTGAATTCCTCGTATTAAAACAATGAACATATAAATTTTTTGGAAAGATCAGGGCTCGAAAACTGATTTGCGGGCCGATTTTACATTTTTCACCATATCTACGGAACGAATTGATGGAATTTCTTGAAATTTAATATTTGAGTTCTGGTTAACTGGCGAGCATTTCTGGGAATTCGGGTAGCACAAAGCGAAACTCTACTAAGAGCCAAATTTACATTTTTTCTAGGTATGTTAACTATAAGCTTACTAATGTCCTAAAAATTGGAAAGAAGTATTTAAAAGACGTTTTTATAATATTCTGTAACCCTTTCACTTAAATAGACAATATACAATGCGGTCGGTTATATGCTGACCACATCAGATTTTTTTTTTATATGCACAAAAATGTAAATTTGGCTCATTGTAAAAGTCCGGTTGTTGATTCCTAATTTCTTCCAAAAGCTTATACATAAAATTTCCGGTTAATCAAGTGAATACTTTCCAAATAATGATCAAAAACATAAAATCGGCCAGTAGTAAAGATATAGTTCCAAAAACCAGACATACGCCGAAAGTTTTTCAAACCGTTTCATCTCAAAAGTAAACTAAGATATAAATTTTGAAGAAAATCGGCTCAACCGAAATTTTCTTCTACACAGACAGACAAACAAGCAAACAGACAGAAACCTAGAAAGACAGAAGACCCGACAGATATCACTCTCTAATGGAGAAATGCATTTCTGCGAAAAATCGACAAGCGAAATATGGCGCCATCACATAACCTTCCTTATTGTTTTCGGTAAAAAAGATTCTTTGGTTTTATAAAGAAACTATCTTGAGCATACTATACTAAAACAATAATAACACTATGTAACACATATGTATGCGGATTTGATCATACTAGTTTCGAATTATTTATTTCCATTTCTGATAAAAGTCTTTCTTTCATAAAATCGAACTGATCAAAAAATAATATATGTATGTGTAAAAATAAATTTTTAGTTAATTACAAAAATATTACAACAAAAAGGTTTTATTACAACAATATGTAATCCATTCTTAACCTCACTCTTCATATACACACGTATGTATATGAAATATTTTCATAAAGGCGGAATTCTTAATATTTATTCTTTTCTAAACTAATTCTCAAGGAAAAATTTTTAAAATGTCTAATATTAAAAATGACTTGAAATTAATATTCCTTTTTCTATAATTTATTGTTACTAAAAAACGCCTTCAAAAACACTTTCGTTACTTACACATATATTTTGTTTTTTTATGAAGAACAAAATAAAAAATGTGTTAAAATCTTTGTATATACTATATAATAATTCATAATGTAAAACAAAAAATAATATCATTTTCTAATTTATAATATTCACGTAATATAAAAAAAACTGTTCTGGCTCAGCACATAACTGACCGCAGTATATATTGTCTAGATTAGCAAAACAATTATGAAAATTATGATTATATTAACCAAAAGATTATGAAAATGCGTTTTAAGTACTTCTTTACAATTTTAAAGACACTAATAAACTTTTAGTTAACATACCTAGAAAAATGTGAATTTGGCTCTTGAAGCTTGTCGAATGAAGCTTATATATGAAATTTTAAGTAAATCTATTGAATATTTTCTTCAAAATGATCAAGAATGTAAAAAATGCCCACTAAGAAGTCGAGTTCCCGAAGCCTGATATATCCCAAAAGTTGATCAGTCCGAGACATGGTCGAAATTAAACTTACGTATAAATTTTCTTCAAAATCGGTTCAGCCGAACCTGAGATACATGCGTGAGCACAACAGACCGATAGACCAACATACCGACAGACTGACACCTCTATATAAACAGTTTATGTATACTTCCCTACTATGGAGAAGTAGGTTCCCATCGAAAACTCGATATACTAAATTTGTTGCCATCACATAACCTCCCAATTTCGGTCGGTAAAAAGAAGATTATTAAGTACAAAATTGTTAATGAAAATAAATTTAGAGTTTGGCGCTGAAATAAGAATATGAGATATAAAGTGTGTACCATAAGTAAATTTTTATTACGCAGATTTATAAATGTTCAAAGGGTAATTAACCTGATTTTTAGTTTCGGTTCATTTTGTAATTAAATTTAATTAAAAATATGAATGTATAAAGTACACGAATATTTTTAAAATTTATTCATTTTATTTTTATATTTAATATATTGTCATTTAAACCCGGAATTCATTAAATTTATTTAACCGCTGTGCAATTTATGATTATTTGTGTATGTTTATTTAAACATACATACATATGTGCGTTAAATTATAGGTAAATAAAATTTTGATAATTGGAAAATTGTATAATATTAAATAAAAGTTATAAATTCGGACATAAAATTTCAAAGAGAAAATGACGTCCCTTCACTGCATATCTACACTTTTGTAGTTTGGGTTATATTTCATTTGATTTGCGTACGTTTTTTACAAAATTTTTAAATTAACATCTCAAGTTCTGTGAAATTTTTCAGTCCTGACGTACACAATTTTTACGTTATGCGCATTTCATAAAATCATATTTCGCTTAACTTCTTATTTTATTAGCTTTAATTGTTCATTATTTTGCAATCAAATTCTTAATATCATAATAAAATTAATGCTTTTTCGGTGTACGAACCTTCTATTTACTCACAAACAATTTAATTGTTCTTCGTAAAAGAAAAACTACCAGTTTATAAACTTTTTACGCAATAATAATTTATTAATTTTTTATTTTTCCATGCGCAAGTGAGAGAAAATAAAAACAAGTAAAAACGTTTCAGTCGGTATAAACCGATTGAATTATACCCTGCACCTTTCGTTATTGTGTAGCAATTACTCGAACCTGTGAGATCATTCTATATAAACTTCACGGACATGTCTGACCTATAATTGGACATCCGACTGCCAAGTTTCATCAATCTGACCTTATAATTTTTTAAAATATTTAAAATTAGCTTTTGGAGTTGTATGGTAAGTACCTAAACCTGTCAAGCAATTCCATCAAAACTTTACAAATATATCTGATCTATAATCAGACACACAACTGCCAAGTTTCATGAATCTGACTTTATTATTTTTCCAAATATTAAGAGTAAGCTTTTAGACTTGTATAGGATCTACTCGAACCTGTTAAGCAATTCCACCGCAACTTCAGAAATATGTCTGACCCATAATTGGACACATGACTGCCAAGTTTCATGAATCTGACTTTATTATTTTTCCAAGTATTAAGAATAAGCTTTTAGACTTGTATGGGAGCTACTCGAACCTGTCAAGCAATCGCACCAAAACTTTAGAAGTATGTCTGACCCATAACTGGACACACGACTGCCAAGTCTCATGAATTTGACTTTATTATTTTTCCAAATATTTAAAATAAGCTTTTGGGGTTGTATGGCAAGTACCCGAAGCTGTCAAGCAATTCCACTAAAACTTCACAAATATATCTGATCTATAATCGGACACACAACTGCCAAGTTTCATGAATCTGACTTTATTCTTTCTCCAAATATTTAAAATTAGCTTATGGAGTTGTATGGCAGGTACCCGAACTTGTCAAGCAATTCCTCCAAAACTTCGGAAATATATTTGACCTATAATTGGACACATGACTGCCGAGTTTCATGAATCTGACTTTATTA